TGATGCACCACATGGGTTTGCTACTGATCAGAGTGATCTCTACAGGCCAGAGAAAAGGGTCAACAAGAACCTTATTAGGAATCTTATGAAGTTCAGCAAAGGGAAATGCCAAGTCCTTCACCTGGAAAGGAAAAATCTCATGCCCCAGTAAAGACTAGGGGCTGACCAGCTTGGCAGAAATGACCTTGGGGTCCTTGAGCCAGCAGTGGTGCTCTTGCAGCAAAGAAGGCCAACAGCCTCCTGGATTGTGTTAGGAGTAATGTTGCCAGCAGGTTGAGGGAAGGAATCCTTCCCATTTTCTGGGCGCTGCTGAGACGCTTGTGTGTTCCTGAGTCTGGTTCTGAGCTCCCCAGTGCAAGAGAAAGTTATTTTAGTTACTGCTTATTCTTGGTTTTAGAGCAACAGAGAAGTCCTTTGTTAAAATAGCTGGAAGTAAAAGTTTTAAGTACTTCCCCTTTTAAACAAGGAGAGATAGACTTCCAGTTCAAGAGGGGCCTCAGATCCTAAGTGCTTTATGAACAAGATAAAATTCAAAATATTGTCCTTTAGGTCCGTTACCACTATGACAGTCTGGAAAACTTCAGTGAGTTGATGCCATGATGTGACTCACTGTCTTTTCTCAGAGACACTAGTGATGAACAGACTTGGTTTTGGTACGGGAGTGCATGTGGACAGTATATTGAGAAACTGCCTTTACATTAACTTACTAGAGCTGAAAGATGTTCTTTGTGCATGTGGAGTTTGTCTTCTATTTATTGGAGACTTTTTTTCCCCTATATCAAAATGATTCATCTTGTAGTTTTGTGGCTGGTTTAAGTTCATGGGCTGCTTCCCTCCAGCCTGCTACTTTTTCCTTAGGGAAGATGGGGAGCAGCTGCTGCGGCAGCAAGTGGCCTGAGTGGCTGAAGGCTGTGCCTCTGCCCTCCACAGAGCAGGGATGCTCGGACCCAGTTGTGAGGGGCTGGGCAGGAGCAGGGGCTGGCAGGAGAGGTGTGGGAGGCTGTTGGATTGCTGCTGCTCTCTGTGTGTGATTAAGGACAGGGTCAAAACATGAGTTACCGATGTCACTAAGAGCTTGAGTTGGGAAGAGTTCCAGAACTCAGACGTGGATTGTAGGCTGCCAGGGGTTGGCGAGCGTGCTGATGAGTGAGTGGTAAAAGGATGACCTCAACAAGAAAACCAGGGTAAAATCACTTCTTTGCTCTAGCGGGTGCGGTGAAATGCATCTGCATGTGAGAGGAAGCCACAGAGCTTTTTATCTTCTGGGAGTACAGAGTGTTCTTGCAAAGTTCAAGGAACATAAATGTACCATTAAAACAGTGTCAATATATTGGGCAAGTATGAAGTATTCTGACAACTGGTCCTTAGTACTTAGGGAAAAGGAAAATACGGCTGCTTTAGTTCAAAGATCTGCTTGTAACTTGCAGCAGCCATGCCCATGCGTGCCAGTATGCATCTTGAAATCATCATAGCAGTGATTGCGATCCTTGTACCGCTGAGCAGACATCTCCCACCGTTACTGACTGCTTGCACATCTGGAGTATACGTACATCTACAACAGCTCAGGAAGAAATACAGGTAGTGAAGATACATAATCCTGTTCTTCCATTTCTGACTAGCTTGTACTGTGACAATTAACTTCGGAGATGGAATACAGCTGTGAAGGCAAGTAGATGATTTCCTTTTTGTAGCTGTTTTTGGTCCGGTCATTATGCATAGGAACAATGAGTATCTTTTTAATTACTTCTTAAGGAAACCACACCACAGTTTTCCTCCGTCATTGCAAAATAATGTTTTTAAGATATGAGACACTTCTGATTCATAAAGTTATGAATTGCGTTTCTTTTAGAATAAATATATATGTATGTTAGAGATAGTTGACTCTTGCTAAGGGGTAAATGAAACTGGTGGTGCTTGTGTAAAGAAGTCTTGACTCCTGGATGGGTGCTTGGCTGATGTAGTTGACCTACTTTAGCTCTGACCTTGATTTGCTCAGAGGTGTTTATGTACTCGTGACCAGCTTTACTGCATGATTAAACTAGTCACGTGTCAACTAACTTTTTTTTTAAGGGATGAACTGTAAGATTTGTTTTCACTGTCTCATTAGCTTTGTTACAGGGGGTTGGAGAAAGATTGAATGCAAGGGAGTGTAGGCCTGAAGGAAGCGGTCCCAAACAGACTGTGACATGAGACACTGTCATGCGATACAATGACAACATATCATTTGATTCTCACCTACAGGAGAATTTAATCAGGAAGTGGTTTGCATGGCATTTTTTCAAGTAGGTCCTTGGAGTGATTTGGCAACAGACTGGGCATTATAAATGGAAGATTTGAACTTTGCTTATATATATCTGGGTAACTTTTGTGTTCCTTCCCATAGAGGATTTTTTTGAGGCATCGAACAACCAGCAGCTGGAGGCTGAAAAAATAGTAAAATATTAAATTTTTCAGAATTTTAAGAAAGCCTTGCAACAAAACGTTTCTCTGAACTCTTCGCTATTATAGTGTGGCATGCTGGGTTTTGCTCTGATCATTGGGTTGACATTTTCTTAACTTTAAACCTCATATCAAGAGACGCAAAATTCTTAACTCTTACAATGCTAAAATGTAGGACTATGGTTGTTAGAACTGGGATGAACATTTGGGACATGGTAGAGAAAGGGCTGACTTGAAAAGACACTGAGAATTCTGTTTTTTATGTGGTTTTGTTCTGTTTAAATGGTCAGGACACTGAAATTAACTGCTTTGAAACTATCAAGTATAGACACTTGGTTATAATTTAAAATAGCAACACAGTTGAATGGATACTTGATTTCAAGATTTTTTTGTCTATAAAACTGCTTTGAAATTTTTGTTTCAAGATGAACAAAAAGCAATTTTTTTTTTTTTTTTTATTAAAGCACACCAGTGACTTGTGCAGTCTTCTGATTATTAAGCTAAAATACTGATGCTTGCAGGCATTCTTAGAGAGAGAGGACTATGTTAAACTTATAAGCCTTTTTTTTTTTTCCGTGTTTTGTTTTTTAATTCCAGCTCATCCCAACCTTCTGTCTGAAGTCATCATAAATGGTCGATGGAATTATATTAAGCAGTAAAATGTGAGTTCAACAAGTACACTCACATACAGAGGTGCTCAGGAACTTTTGAAAGTTAATTGCGAGTGGTTGAGCCAGAAATTTTAGAAAATACTTGTTTGTAGTATGTGCTTTATACAGTATTTGGATTTTGTATCAGGTTCCAAGACTGAATCTTGGATGCGCAGTAATTGGACAGTGTAAACAAAGAGGCATCATAGGTGGTTTGATGTGACAGTACTTTATCACTGGATCCATAGGGCTTAGCCACAGGCCACACTAAGTTTAGCTATAACTTCTGCACATCAGCTGAGGATGATGTTTTTGGATCTGAACCAGGTGTAGAGAAATGGTCAGTGACTGTGGTTTAACTGGTGGCTTGTAAATTAAGCCGCAGTAATCTCATAAACCACAGTAACATAATTGAGTTTATAGCTGTTGGACTACTTTGAGTAAGAGGGACAGCAGACAACTAGGAAAATGCTGATACAGGAAGAAAATAAGGCCTGATCTAAAAGTAAGTATCGGTGTGAATGAAAGCCTTGTAAAACAAACTGTGGTTATGGATTCAATGGCTTAATTTGACTTAAATCTGTACTGATTAGCTTTTGTCAGTGACCTTTTGGTGTCAGCTGGCCTCCTTAACTTGCCTGTACCAGTACCTTCATACATTTACAAATACCTGACTCCTTTTTCATTTTTGAGAAGGGACCACAGAGAAGTTGTCAGGTGAGATGGATAATGAGCCCTTAGCAGCAGTTTGGAAGCTGTGCTTCCAGAACAGTGACCCTCTGTTCAGAAGTTGGTGGTATTAACACAATGACTTGCCTGACCTTAGATTTAAGAGCTGTGATCCTCACTGCTATTACCATAGCAGGACCAGTGACTTAGATAATTTAAACTTCTGAAATAAATTCGGAATGTGCTATTTTGACAGAGATGAAGAAAATGATACCTTTGACTTTGGATTTTGTGAGGATTCTGTTGGCTTATAACTCTTAACACGTCTATATGCGTGATTCAGTAAATGGGTTATAATGTGGTCATGGTGACAGAATATCGGTTGGTTGACTTGCGAACTTCTGAGTGTGTCATGGAAGATTGCTGATCAGTGTAATTTGGAAGTTCTGCTGTCATCACAGGTTGGAAAGTCAGTCACGATGTTCACAGATGCATTAACCAGAAAACAGTATACTCAAAAGACTTGGCAGGGTTTTTTGCAGGAGGTATGCTTAAAACAGTTTTTAAGTCTTGCATAATAAGCTTTGCTGAAAAACCCGTTTTGTGACAGCAGAATGGAAGGGAAGGACATCCACCTGCAGGCCAGTCCCTAAGCTTACAGTGGAGTTGGGAGACACAGTTGAGGACTTGAGTTATAGTAAGGGGTGTAGATTTTGTTTAAAACTTGAAGCCTGTGGAATAGAACAATGTTTAACCCCCTTACCTTTGAAAATGCCAACTGCTGTTACAAGGAAAATAGTAAGCCAAGCCCAAACTGCCTTACTGCTATGAACACCCTAAAAGTGAGTCAGCCAGGAGTAAATGGATAAGTCTGTATTTTGCCCTGTTACAGCAGTTTGACTCATTCTGGTCTCACCTGACAACAAAGGTGTTCAGGTCTGATCGTTGTTTGTGAGCAGAGGGGTTTTATGTAAAGACTAAAAAATGATAGGCAGTGCCCAAAAGGAAGTGATGCTGAAGAGGTTCCTTCTGTTCCTGAGCTTGGGCCATTGGAGGTGCACATCCCGATATATAATCCTTTTGACGATGGAAAAAGCTTCTACACTTTATAAGGAAATTAAAATTCGATCATTTAGTAGTTCTAGTAGAAAACATCTATTCGCTGTGTGAACTGTGTCTAAAACAATTGTTCTAAACAAGCTTGTTTTGAAAGTGTTTAAGCTTGTTTTTCTTCCCATTCAGGTTTTTGAAAGTACTTGACTAACAGAATATGAGGCACGAAAGAGTTTTAAGGTGATCAGCTGCTTCAGGCTGAGCATCATCATCTTTCCCCAGGTGGATCTAGGCTTCCAAGACAGACTTTCAGGTAAAAACTGTTTCACAGTTGAATGAATGAACTTTTCACACAGGTTTTCTTCCGACAATATAATTATTTGCAGTTTAGAGGATTAAAATGTGTATGTTTTGGATGAAAAAGCTAATCAGATTCATTTGTACCTTTAACTAGTCTTCTTGGACCATCATTGGGTTATTAGTTTTTTATTTGTGGGGTCTGCTGTGGTAGAGGTGTTTGACTTGATTTTCTGCGGAAATCTTCTGAATTCTGTTCCATGGAATTGGGTGGAATTAGAACTCTCAAAGCTTATGAGCTTTGATAATATGATTTTCAAATTGATTGACACACTTAAACTAATGTTCCCAGTCAGGTAAACACAGACAGAACTTACCCTTTATTTATGTGAAGTAGAAGCAGTTGGCTGTCTAGTTAACATAAAAGTAAACCTGGTTTAGTTAAAGATTACGCTGACGATTCTTTAAAAACAATTGTGTTCAGTAATGTGTTTTGAGAATGGTCATGGTTTGTCTATAATACTCAACACACCAGTAACTGGAAAAGGAGAAATTGCTTATCTGCTTTATGGCAAAAGAAAATAATAGAATTGTAATTTTTGCAGTTTTTAAGAATAGTGAGTTTGAGATCTGTTTGGTTTTGTTTTGTTTTTTTTTTTTTTGTTAAAAATATGTAAGTTTCTGCTTCTCTTAATGCAGCGTTTCTTTGGTTGGATTGTTTTTGTTTGTTTTTTTTTTTTTTTTTCCCCCTAACATTACAGAATCCAATGGCAGACCAAAGGATGGACATATCTTCTACAATTAGTGACTTTATGTCACCAGACCCTGCTGACTTGATCTCCAGTTCCCTTAGCACTTCAGGAATGGATTGTAATAGGAAAAGAAAGGGAAGCTCTACAGATTATCAGTAAGTTGGAGTTCTCTTGATTTAACACTGCTAAAAAAAGGTTGTAACACAACAATACAGTGGGGGAGATGATAGAAATATTTATAGCAATTTTAAAATAACCTTTTCTTGACAACCTGTCATAAAGTTTTTAATAAAGAACTATACACTAAAAGCAAAGTTCCTTATTTAATAATAAAAATAAAGCCTTCACCTTCCAGCTAGAATTGAGGGCTATCAGATGACACAAGGCTGAGGAAAAAAACCCTTTGGTTGATGGGGTTGGAAATTAATACTGATGAAATGTGTAGTGTGAAGGTTGATTATATTGATCATTTATATAGGAAATAGAATGTCTGACTGGCAGGAGGGAGGATAATAAAGTCATTAAAAAGAAGCAAAACTGGGAATAGTTCCTTTTCTTCACCTATCTTTTGCCTTTTTAGTCATCTCCTATCAGTGTGCTGCCAACCTTTGCCTGATGAAGCTATTTTGGTGTCCCAGCTGACTATGAATCTGGATGGCCTCTGGTTTGGGGCCGTAGATCTGCCTTTCATTTAATCAACTGATTTAATCTTGTATTGGTTCTTGACTGTAGGCTATTATTCCTGACAAAATAAAAACTTGATTTCTTCTGAATCAACATTAGAATGTGGTTTTGTTTCAAGAAAGGTGCTTGTCTTGAAGGGAATCTTGCTAACAGCAGTGCTCAGAAGCACTGTCCAAGCCATTGCTTCTCTTGGCACAGGTGTTTGAAATAGAAAGAAATCACACCAACTCTGCTTTAGAATAGTGAAGGTCACAGTAAAATTTCCAAATGTGTAAGGTCTTCTATACTAGGTACACAAAGACCAGCCTACTTACACTGTCACTATGCAAACCTCGTATGTATTGTAACTTTACAAAGTCTAGCTGCGGGGTATGTTGTGAGTGGGTCCCATCCATTATTAATACAGCTACGTAGTCCATTTTTATGTAACTTAGCACAAATTTTATCCTTGTGGGCCTTTGGATTGTTGGCAGTTCTTTTTGCAGGGAGGGGTAGCATTTTTAATCCATGCGGAGCATGGCAATTAAGAATTAGGTTCCCTGTGCGTAGGACTTCTTTTTAGAACTTACAAAACTTTAAGTACTGTTTAAAGACCACAAACATAATGCGTATGTACCTTCTCTAATATGCATCTAGTTTTCCTGAAAAGTACACGACTCCCTCTAGTTGAATTGACTACTACAAGATTCAGTGAACAGCCTCAATCTTACCAACCTCCTCTTCTCTAGAAAGGATTTCTCCATCTTTATTCTTCTGGGTAGGAAGCATTGCTTAAGTCCTCTTTTCCAAAAGGCAGTTTTCTCTTGCAAGTTATAATTCTGTCCTTTAGGTTGTGTGTGCATTTTTTAAATATGTGAAACCACTATTTCCTTGAATCCTAAGTAAAATAAGTTTACAACAGCTGTCCTCATACCATAGTTCATGTTGTGTTGGAAAGGAAATGGTAGCTAGTAAATATTCCAATTTATAAGACAACTTAAGGTAGACATCTTTAGTCCCTCCTTCTACATGTGTGTATTGATAAATGTTTAGAAATGCTACTTTTCAGCTTTTGCTGGCTGTTAACAATCTATTTTTTACAAATATTGTCTTAGTGTCCAGTTTTATGCTTCATTTACCAGTGAAGGTAGGGAATAAGGAGGGCAGAACCTGACTGATTTAGTGTGGCTCTTCGTTCACCTCTCAAGCACAGGCGAGCATATTGATCAGCTGCACTTCCAGCTCTCCACACCAGCTTCTTTTCAATTCTTTCTGCTGCCACTCCTTTAGGAAAATTTCTGTCCAGCTTATTGCTGTCACTTCAGCAAAGGTTGTCTGTTCTCCACTACAGTCTGTTTTAATCAAATGCTGGAATCTAAGCCTTCATGCACAGGTCTATAAACAGTTAATTTATTTCCTTGGGAGTAGTGTTTTCAGTTGAAATAATACATGATAAGAAAAGAAACTATCCTGAAGTATTTGTAACTTACCTTGTACCTCTTTTAGATTTTGCTTTCTGGGTTTAACTAAGACTGAAATGAGTTTTGTCACAACAAGCATCCTGTAGCTAAGGGTAGCGTCATGAGTGGAAAACTGATGCTTCATTTCTAAGTCCTATTCTAGACTATTTCCTTGCGAGCATCAGCAGTGCTGTGAGACATTGACTAAGATAGTAACTAAAAGTGCAAACTGAGACATGAAGAAAACCTTTAGCATTATTCAGACTTCTTTTAAAAACTAATCACAAAGATAATTGATTTAAAAGCGCAGTAAATAACGTGAAAAACTAGACATGCCAGCAGCATGTAGAAATTCTGTTTAATTTCCTTATGATGTAATAAAGTCTGTATAAAGTTCAGAATTAGGACTTAGTACTGACTACAGGAAAATGTTCATCTGTCCTTCTGGGCAGAATCAAAAACTGAGAAACTTGGGATAAGTTGTGGTGGTGTTTGGTTGGTTGGTTGGTTTTTTTTTACTTCTGGCCTTAGAGTCCTCTGAAATCCCATTTATCTAACCACAAGGGCAACAGGCATAAAGCACAGATCTTTAATTTCTGAAGATGAAACAGTATCTCAGTGATTTGTATAACATAATTTAAGTTAGTTGTTTTGCTCGTTTTTCACATTAAGTGTAATGAACTGTGCCATCTTTTTTTAAAAAGCAGAATTACTCTTTTGAGAAGCAGATTAATTTGAACAAGCTTATTTCCTTAGAATATGTTCACTGCTATTGTCTTGTTTTCATTGTGCTTTTCATTTAAAATAGAATATAAATTAGCTTGAGAATTTCAACAGAAAATGCAAGACATTATTCTTATTTCCTATATATGGTGTACTTTATTTTTCTTTCTTTTCAGACTTGATGGCTTTCCTTTTGAGTAAGTATGAATATTTTAATAATTGGTTTTGCTGGAAAAAGATGCTTTTCCTTGCCTTTCCCTCCCATTTACTTAAAATTTGCAAGTAAGAATTAAACCAGAATAAGCCAGTCTTAAGAGTTTCCATTTAAACAGAGTTGTACAGATTTATATATATCAAACCATCCTCTTCCTAATTCTTTTGTCTAACAGTATTATAGTCTCAAGCATTCAACTTTTTTTACCAGATATGGCTATAAAAACTTACACTTTCATCTCCTTAATTCAGTATGTATGGTTACAATATTAAAATGTAATAGGGGGGATCCTTTTAGTTCTTCATGCCTCCTTCCTTACTTTTTTTTCCATGTTGAGACAAAGGTAAGCCATGTATCTACACTGAAAGTTGTACTGATTTAAACTGTGCCTGGTTGGTTTTGTACAGTCTCTCTGCCCATGCATTTGGTCATCTCCAGTGGTTCGTTGGTCTGGACTATTACAATCTCCTACCCCAAAATCAGCTACCACAAGGCAAACTAAAATGTAGAACACACAGGCATCTGCACAAAATAATTCAGGGCAATTTGTGAATTTTATGCCTAGGCACTTTTATAACTGCCTCTGGTTGAACTTTTAACTATAGTAAATGCAAGTTAGTAGCCCTATTTCTGATGAAGGCATGAAAAATTTCTGCTTTGATATGTCCTTTCCCCCACCTCACTCCACCCCCCCCAGTTAACTGGAAGCCATTTTTATAACAGATGATATCTTTGAACTGCAGCATGTTTTACTGTCAAACATATCAAACTGTGCCATTTTGTTAGCTTCGAAGAAAACAACTAATTTAAGAAAATGTTTTAAGACTACAAAAACCATACAACTTCTTTAGTCCTTTTAGGTTCTCACTTTTATATTCTTATTTTTGTATTTATGACTTAAAGATAACCGGAATACTTTGATTTTATGGGTGTTTGATAACAGTTTTGCTAATCCTGCTTAATTTGTGATATATTGCTTTATTCTGTTTCTGCAGGGAAGGTATGGATACAGATAAGGATGACCAACATGGAAGGTACAAGTGATACAGCCACTAAAATGTTAGTTCCACAGTACTGACATAGGATCCTGTGTGTAGATACTCATGGTCATGTCCCAGATGGTTTCTTTGCTGGGACAGAGGCTTAAGATTGTTGAAAAAATTAAACAAAATACCACAACACTTTGAGCCCCAGCATTACAAGTAATGATACTTTCTGAAGAAAGGTTAAGTAAGTATACAAATTTAAAAAAAAAATATTTTAATGAGGATCAGTAGGTATGTAAGATTCATTAAAATAATTTGGTTTAGTTTTTTCAATACTGTAACTTTGTGATATAATTTCTCAACAGATTGGAGTATACAGACCAACAAGGCAGGATAAAAAATGCAAGGTAATACTCTAAACAAGTATACTGAAAAGAGTTATCTCTTGCTTTTTTCATATATGAACTATTTGCATGTGTTTCTTAGCCTGAAAATATTTTTTTCTAGCTTTGACCTCTTTTCCATATCTTTGCACTGTTAACATTTTTCATGTATAAAATGCATATAGTTTTGTGAAAATACTGATTTGGTAGGTAACTTTGTTTTAGTCACTTCATTAATGTTGAAATTGAAGTCTCTGTGTTTCTGATAACATTCTATATCTTGTTTCTTTCATACTTGATAATGGGTTGTAAAAGTGTCAACAGTGACTCTTCATTATGAGAAAATATAAATGAAATGTTAAATTATTTAGTGTTTATCATAATTTTTTTGGATTAGGAAGATTTTTACTTCAGAGGTATCTCAAATATTTCAGAAGTATCTCAAGTACTTCAGGTGGAAAGCTGTAGGATGAGTAGAAGATTTACATTGCCGCAAAAGGTAGTTTAAATACTTAGTGCATTCATATACTGTACCAATTACAAATTCCTAATTGAGTGCTTTATTCAGTATTTATATACACTGGCATTTGCTTATCTGTGACCTTTATGATTCTAGTTATGTTTCAGTGTATGTGCTAAGAAAAAAAGTGGGGTACAGTAGAAATCTTTAGATAATGTCGTGCTCTTTAGTGGATTGTTTCAGGACTGAGGATTCAGTGCACTATATGGCCAGCATTATATGTGTATTCTGGTAAAGCAGAACCATGTGCTGCAGCCTTTCCTATTGCTTATAACTTACCAAAATAATGAATGTAAAATGTCTGAAGAACTCTACATGTGGATGTCCTTTTCACAAGGATAAGTAGTAACTTAATTATCAGGAGGAGGTTAGTTTTTGTGGTTTTGTTATACTGAATTTAGGGATATAAAAATATTATTTATTTTTCCATTATTTTCTGGTTTTTCTCACCATCTTACTTGTTTAGGGAGGCTCATAGTCAAATTGAAAAAAGGCGTAGAGATAAAATGAACAGTTTTATAGACGAACTGGCATCTTTGGTACCAACGTGCAACGCTATGTCTCGAAAGCTAGATAAACTCACTGTATTGAGAATGGCTGTCCAGCATATGAAGACATTACGTGGTAAGTTGTCTGGGAGGGAATGGGGCAGGACTGGAAGAGGATAGCAAAATGAGATTTCCCCCAAGCCATACTTTTTCTCTCCCTTTGTTGCCCTTTTTTCCAAAAAGGAGTAAGTTAATATGTTTTGGGAGGACTTCTCCCCTTTTCTTAGCACTTGATGCTGTGTGTTCATTTATAGCTTGCTGGTTCATGGTCCAATATCCTGATCTGACTGGGGAATTTGGGGATGAAAAAAGAATAATTTTTCATCATCTGACCTGATTGATCACCATTGCTAGATTCAGCAAAAGCAAGGCAGCTGAGGCAGATGGGGGGAGGGAACAAAGGGCTTAAGTTCAGCCTTGTGTAGCATTGAGCAGTGCTCTTAATCAGGCAATGTGTGAAACCTGTTGGATAGAGAGGTTAGATTTTAGGGGTAAGTAATATTCCTACAGGGCTTGTGAGGTTTGTGTTTGTACCTTTAGCTGTGTGTGAAAGATTGGAGAGTACTTTGAAAATTCAATTTTAGTCTTTTTAACCAGTTTCTGTTACAAGCACCTGGTAGGAAACATGTGCGTTAGAAGAGTTGAGGTTGTTGCAAATTACCGTATGTTCTAAAACTTCATGTATGAGTGAATCGGTGCTTGAGTACAATTGGTGATAATGGTGAAAGCTTAAGCCTTCAAGAAATGTGTCCCTGAGAAAAGATAGGGGTGCAACTAATTTAAAAAAAGAGTCACTGTTCTAGTTTCTAGGAGACCTTTGTCTTCCAGTCATATTTATCCCAGTGTTTTTGAAAGGTTTAACTTTTTCCGCCACTGTCATTTGATTAGGTTACTCCTTCATGGCACTTCAGTGTTTACTGATTTGACTATTTCATAAATACCTGCCTCATTTACTGCTAATTTGAGGATTTTGGCATTGTGAGATGATGTCATTCCAATGCTGTTTTTTCTTTGGCATGGAATGAGAGAACTGATTTGTAAGTTCCTAAGTGACAATCTGTTTGCATGACCTTGTCATGTTTTACTAAGTTCTGAAGAGAAGTAATATATTGAAAGTTTTTATTCTTATTTATCTCTTATTTTTCATTTCTATTTCTGAGACTAATATAAAACAAGGACAGCATTTGGGTTAAAAAATATATGAAGGAACACTTTTATATCTCAGAAGGCATTTAATTTGCATTACTACATAGTGCAGTATTTGAATTTTAGCAAAAAAAGCTTAATCCATTTTTAAATTAATACCAGCAGAGCTTATGTTGATAGTAAAGCAAAACCAAAAAGCAACTTTCATTTTAAAGAAAACCTGCTATGAATAAGGAGGAGCCAAAGGAAAATTGCTCCTTTCAGTGTGTATTGTTAAGTTTGTGATATGGGGATTGTTTGTTTTCTTTAGGTGCTACAAACCCATATACAGAAGCAAACTATAAGCCTGCTTTTCTATCAGATGATGAGTTAAAACATCTTATTCTCAGGGTATGTTTCAACTTTTAATTCAGACATATTTACAGCTGTGAGTTTAACTCTCCCAAAGCAAAACAGCAGTATTTTTCTGCCTTGTATCTCAGCTTAATGTTCTGGTTATGGAGGATAATGAAGAAATCTGCAAGACTACTGCATAAAGTCAGTGGATTTTAACAATGACTGCTGTCTCTTAATTTAAGCAGCAAGATTTAAGAGGGACATCTGAGGAAACTGGTATTTTGATGGTAACCATCAGAATCTTCAGTTATTTTATGGAATTAACCAAAATGATATAAATTATTTTCTTGCAGAGTTTCTGCCATGGGTTATCCTGACATGATTTTTCAGCATGCAATGATGTAATGAACACCTTTTTTTGAGGTTACCAATGTAACATGACTCACTATGTTTGGCTGCTTGCTGTATACTTCTTTTATAGCGTGGAGAGTATGTATCATTTGTCAATAGTTAGGCTTTTGTAGTAGCTCGTGTAATTTGTGAAGAACTTCAGTGTGCAGATGCAGCATATGCAGAAATTAATTTCTGCAGCATTGTAACTCTAAAGGCACGAAATTAGGGCTTAATCCTGTGTGTGACTGTAAAAGAGTACTATTGAAATAGGAATTACTTGCCTACAGGCACATAAATAAATATCCAGGTTATATTTGGTTTCTAAAAGAGGAACTATAGAATAAATACAGATAAAATAATAGTTTAATTTGAAGGCATAATCATAATATTATCGGACAAGACATGGATTCTTTCTTCCCATGAAAGTGACTTTACATTCTGGGCATCATGCCCAGAATGATGCCAAAAATATTTGCAGATGCAAAAAAAAACTTTATTGTAATTTCATATCTTGCCTCTTGACTCAGTTATCTCTGAATGTTAAGACAGCTCTCCTAGCGTAGAAATTATACTGTATACAAAGTGGTTTTAAAGGTCATAATGATGCAGTAAGGATGTATAACTTAGTAATTTTCTTTTTTTCTTTTTTTTTCTAATTAGGCAGCAGATGGATTTCTTTTTGTTGTGGGCTGTGACAGAGGGAAGATACTGTTTGTTTCAGAATCTGTCTTCAAGATTCTCAACTACAGTCAGGTATTCTTTTCCATTTTAAGTAATTTTAGGCCATAAAAAATTTGAAAGCTTTATTTATGGTTATGCATTTATTTGAAGGGCTATTTATGTGAATAGCCTGTCTTGAAAGCTGAGATTTGTTGCAAAGAAAGATCTTCTCTGCAATGTCATTAGAGATTGTTTCTGATTTCCATTCAAACTAAGGAGGTGAAAAGGAACTAAATTTACTTCACCGATTGATGCATTCTGATCAGGAACTTACCTTCAGGCTTTCAAAAGCATTATCTAATTGGGAATGTAAGCAAACACTGAAAAATCAGTCTGAGGTTCTTCCAATAATTTCACAAGAGTTTTTTTACTTAGTTTTTTTTCTGTCTGTTCTAGTCTTGCTAGCATACATACTGATGGAAACTAGGAAGCAATTATACCAAAGCCAGGTTTTTAATACATGCTTAACATGAGGCTTAACTTGCACCATATAGTGTGTAAATAATATTCTTCATTCTTTCTGTCATCTGCCCTTCTTACCAAATTTAAAAACTGTATTAGCTTCAAAAGTTTTCCTCGACCAGCCTTTAGTTAGATATATACTAAATACCTACTCATCATGTAAATATTGAAAGAGAACATTTGCAATTATGACTTTTTCCTTCAAATATGTAGCATATGAAGGGAGACTGAAGAGGAACGAGAATAATGGGGGGTGGTGGATTGAGCATGCCATTTCTGCAAAACTCTTACTAAAAATAATGAAATAAATTACACAGTAATGTAGTCATAACAGAGAAAACATACCTTCTATTAAATCCAGGATCTCAGGTGTTTGATGTTCCTTGGTTAGACCTATGTGTAAAAGGATTGTTTGTAATGGATGCTAACATTGAGGAAAATATACTAAACAATTGTTTGAAGTTTTGACTGAATATTCAATCTCAACAGAATGATTTGATTGGTCAAAGTTTATTTGATTACCTTCATCCTAAAGACATTGCCAAAGTGAAGGAGCAGCTCTCTTCTTCTGATACTGCGCCACGAGAAAGGCTTATAGATGCAAAAAGTAAGTTTTACAACCATTGAAAAACAGTGACATGTAGCCAGATTCACTGTTTCTGAATATTTGCCTAATGTCAGAAGTGTGTGTGTGGGGTGCTGTTTGGGTTGTGTGTCATGCCAAGGAAGTTTTAGCTTAAAGACAGGGGGAAAACACACAAAAAAAAACAACCCACCAAACCAAAACCGAAAACCAAACCAAAGTGTGAAACAGGTACCTGAATGTAGAAGCTAGTAGGTTTGTCATGCACTGCAGTATAGATGCATTAGTTTCACTGGATTCGCTTGTGAGGTATCCTCTCTTTTTTCCGGGCATCAAAGGTTTAATTTTTCCTGTTAAAACACTCAAAGCATTTGTTCTAGTCTGTCATTCTCAACGGTCAGAATACACTCAGTATTATTTTGGTAGTCCTTAGCTGTCAGTCAAGATAGAGGATTCTTTTATTTATTACTTATTGCCACTTTCATCAATGACCTAATACTTCTCTTACATTTTTAACCTGGTCCTTGAAATAATTTCCTGCTATGTCTTAGCTGTATTCCACTGTGGTATTTTAAAGTAGTTCTGTATCTCTGCTGCTTTTGAGGTGAGTGGGTGTTTAATTCACTCTCATAACAGGAGTCTGAATTGCTTAAGTAGAAGGTGTTATCTTACAACTGCAGATTTACAGGTCATTAAGTCTCATGCTTGTCAGGAGGAGAAATCTCTAGGATCTCATCTCCAAGAAGCCACCAGCTCAACTTCAGAAACTGAAGCTGAGAGAGATCATTCCGGGGGAGAGAGCCTAGAGGCTCTAGCTGGATCAGCTGAAGTTTTTCTGGCTCCTGGTTTTGTCTGGCTGTCAAGTGTGTATATCCAGTGCTAGCTCCTTTTTTTGTATGCCTCTGACAAAGTTAAGGCAAAAATAAATACTATGAATTACAGTCTTCCCATCTGCTATGGTAGACTAATTGGTAGAATTGCAAGAACTTACATTCTTAAAGAGTACTAGTATGTATGTATGCATTTATTTTTATGTTGGCATGAGTGACGCAAGCACAGCTTGTATTCTCACCACTGGACAACAGTTTAGAGTCCATGTGGTACAGGACAGTGTGACCTCACTCAATTCTAGTTTTAAGGGAGGTATACTTTATACCAAAACATAGGCATTGTTGTTTTCCTCCTTGCATTAAAAGCCCACAGGGCCCTATAAGTTTTTGTACATGCTTATAGCTGTTCATTTATACATACTGCCATGCAGAAATATTGAAGTGGATAGCAAGCTGTGGGAAAGTTGCAATGTGACTTAAATCCTCCATCAGCTCTTGGAGCATCGTTCCCTGGAGCTCCAGCCGCATCACTGGCGTTGGTGATGCAAGCCTGTGCTCCTGGTGCTGCATGCCAGGCATCTTCCTGGAGCTCTGATTGTACCAGCACTCTTCTGTTGGTGCCCAGAGTTGATGTGTGTGTTGGTACTGTGTTTCTCCAGTTCTTTTCCACAGAAAAGAGTCTAAATCTCCTGCAAGTATATAATAAAAGTCAGGACTTATTGTTAAGGTATCTTCATGTGCATTTACTTTAGAGAGGCTAGAGAGACTCCTTAAACATAATTGGAGGTCTTGGGGAATTGCAGTCCCTGTGTAGTTCACTGCCTCCTTCTGTCAGAACATAAGAAATATGTGATGTCTAGAAACACACCAGCTGAGATGGACCCAGAACGACACTGGGCCTCCTCTGCACTGTATGTGCTCTCTGGGCGGGTGTTGTGATAGAAAAGTCTTCCAGTCGGAAGGATCATGGGCCTATTGAGTGATGATGTATGAAGTACTGCCCTGGTTATGAGTAAATAATTTCTTTCTATTTTTAACCAGTTGATTAGTGTTCAAAGAAATCACAACGTTTATTGCAAAACTTGCGTGGATTTGTAACATCTTTTGCTAACCTTTGCATTTAGAACCCTGTGTTCTCAAGATTGCGTCAATGTTTTCATGCTAGAAAGTGTAATCAGAAATTTTAATGTTGATATGGTTAGCTGAATCTTGCATGTACTCGCTTACATGAAAATCTCCAAAAACCCTTCCTTGGAAGCAGAAGATTTATCAAAGGACTTCTGTGCAAATCTCAGCAAAGTTGAAACATTGTAATCATTCGTTGTATGGTTAACTTTTTACCTGACAAAGGAGGCTTCCTCACTTTTTCTCTTTGCTACAGCTGGACTCCCAGTTAAAACTGATATAACACCTGGGCCATCACGACTGTGTTCCGGAGCAAGACGGTCCTTCTTTTGTAGGATGAAGTGCAATAGACCTTCAGTGAAAGTAGAAGATAAGGATTTTCCTTCAACCTGTTCAAAGAAGAAAGGTAACAATTAGGCATTTTTTTACCAAATGTAATAGCTGTCATGCTTTTTTTTTTTTTTTATACAGTTGCTTATTGCAGTGGTTTGTGGGTTTGGGGTTGTGTTTTTTTCTTGTTGTGTTGGGGTTTTTTTGTTTGTGTTTTCTTTTTTTGTTTGTTTGTTTTGTTTTGTTTTTTTTTTTTTTTTCATTTATTGAACACTGTCAGTGTTTCTTATTAAGATATTGAACTATGTCTAGGTCTGTTACTTCTTCATAATTCCTCCCCCCCTCACACACCCCACCCCCCCCTCCTGTAGTTCTTACACACTGTATTAGCATATAAAGTCAAATTATCCTCTCTACTTACTTGAAATTTTTTCAGGAAGTTTGTGCTGACAGTTCTGGTGTGGTTATTGCATCTTCTTCAGACACTGTTTATATCACATTCAGTCTTGACCTTCTAGCCACCATCCCCAGCAAAGAGGAGCTGTTAGCATTCTGTTTCGCTGCTCCGTATTGGACAAGTGATATTTGGATGGATATCCAACTTAAAAAATTAGTTTATTCTGAGCTCATCTGTGATTTTGGTACATTCTGGGTACTGGAAACACAGCATTTCTACACCAGAAGTTTTTGGTCATAACATTATCAAAGTTGGTAATATTTTTGTCCTCTGTAGGGTATTATTCTAGACATGTTGGAATATATATTTAGTCCAAATTTGAAAATTTCTTCTTTGAGTACTTTGGATAATACACTTGGTATTAAAGTGGAAAGTGTCAACTAGAGAACAGAAGGCAATTTAAGTGTTTTGTCTCTGGATATAACAGCTGCCCCAAGTACTTCCTGAGAGGGTCAGACACAGCTTCAACCTTGGATCATGCTCTAGTGCTTATCCCTGAGGAAACCAGCTTGTGCAGTTAGGCGTAAGCCTTTTACTCTACCTCTCTAAGATCTTCATTGCAGTTTTAAGGCCTTCTCAGTACTGAGGAATATGAGTTCTCCTTTCAGGTATTGACTGTATTACTTGTCATTGTGAATCTGCATCCTCACCCCTATGTATAGCTATACCCTGTATTTCCCAAATGGTGTATGTTCTACCAAACAAATTGTTCCTTTTTTTTTTTTTTAGGAGCCTCATGTTAAGTTGAAAAAGGCATCGTGTTTATTCATTAATATACTAATTTCTTCAAACAGTCCTTTAGATTATTTCCATACTTTGCTGAAGTAATAAAATGTGATGCAGTTTCTACTTAAAGATTATCAAAAGCAACCTGGTCTGAACTATGTGGTGTTTCAGTACAAACAATGGTTTTGGAGAGATAAATTGTTTATTGAAATATCTCAGATGAGCTGCGTTGAAGCAGGAGTGCTGAAAAATCCCTTAGTGAACAGTATCCCAAAATTCCTGGATGAGAGAGGAGATGCATTATTAGCAGAACTGAGATCAAGTTCTCCAAAGCAATATCCATGACCTAACTGCTTTTTTGGTTTGTTGTTTTTCTTTTTTTTTTTGTTTTGTTTGTTTGTTTTTTGTTTTTTGTTTTTTGTTTTTTTCTTACAGCAGACCGCAAAAGCTTTTGCACTATTCATAGTACAGGATATTTAAAAAGCTGGCCGCCAACAAAAATGGGACTAGATGAAGATAATGAACCAGATAACGAGGGTTGTAATTTAAGCTGTCTTGTTGCAATTGGACGGCTGCATCCTCATGTAGTACCACAGCCAGTCAACGGTGAGATCAGGGTGAAACCTACAGAATATGTTTCTCGACATGCAATAGATGGGAAATTTGTTTTTGTAGATCAGAGGTAAGAATACTTGTAATAACTTCCACAGTAAGTCACTGTCCAACACTGCTCTACTGACAGCTTTCCTTAAAGCGGTGTAAATACTATCAAAAACAGAATGACTGTTCTTTTCAGCATTTTACTAAATCCTAACTGCAAGTTATTTTGGTTTTTTTTTTTTTTTTTTTTTCAGACTGAGCTCAAAGCTATTACTGTGTATTTATTCAGTATTACTGATTAAATTTTAAAAACCAAGAACCTCCAAAAATATGGCTTACTAGACAGAATAATCCGGGATCACTTCTGCCCATTTGTTAAGGGAATGTATATATATGTAATGCTCAGAAGAATATGCTGTCCTATTCTGAAACTGGATTTTTTTAATTACTACCTCTTTGTTGTTTGAAAACTTTTGCAAACACTAAGTAGTTAAGTTATTGCACAGGCTGCATGAGGCTTTGACAGCATACATGTTTGTTTAACTGTATACTTGGACACATTCTGCTGAATCAATACTTCTGTATGTGATCTTTTGTATCTATAAGAAAGCAAGCTTTTCATAAGCTTTACTTCTTGGAAAAGGTTTGAGAACTTGTACCAGTGTGGTATCTTCTTTCAAGCATCACTTTTACTTATAATGTAAAGGGCTAATTCTTTTTCAGAAGAAACTGCTTGAATTTTCTTAAATAGCAGACACACATGACCTGAGTCTTCCTTCAAAATAACTGTCATCATCAAGGGGAAAAAGGTGGTTGATGGATGTTAACGGAGGCATTACGCTGGGTTGGCTGGAGAGGACTTGCTGGGTTCCCTGCCTTGTCAGGGTGGATTGAGACTGCCCAGATGAGGCTGTTTCAGGTTGCCTGTGACGTAGGCTCAGTTGCTTACAGTGTAGAAAAGCCCAGGCTCCAAACTCTTGAAAGAATCTGCATGCTGGAATTTGTTTCAGGGGTGTGTCTGGTGTGGCAGCTGATTTTTAGTGGACTTTGAGAGGAAATTAAGGTGATAGTCTTGAGAGGAAGCGCAGTAAGGAGAAACTTTTTTTAAAATATTATCTATTTGGTTGGGGTGGTTGGGACTTTTGGGTTTGCAGTTTTTGGTTGTGTTGTTTGGGGGTTTTGTCGTTTCTATTGCTCAGAAAGCTTTCTAAAATATCAGCTATTCAGCAGCAGTGTTTAGAGCTGGTGATAACTCTGGGAGCTATAAGACCATTTGTAGCCTTTGTGTTGCTCAGAAAGTGTGCTCTTCTGTCATGCCAAAGTATGGTAGTTTATGAATGAGTTTTGTTTTCAGAAATCAAATGTATTCCCCGATGGATAATTTTGAAGTATTTCTAAAATGAGACGACTCAGAAAATGTTAATCCGTTGGGTTTAAACACATATGCTCTTATCTAATTGTTTTCCAGCAGTTGTTTACAGTCCCTCGAATGTGTATACTACTTCAGAGGGCTCTTTGAAAGGGAATTTTTATAGAAGAAAGCCTCATCTGTAGGCTTAAACTTGGCATCCTATGATCTGTGCTACCTCTGGAGAATATTTAGGCACCTGTAAAAGTTAAAAACTGTTAATTTACTTCTGTGTTGGGTTTTTTGTTCATATAGCCTTGCACTGTTTCTTTTGTCTTTTGTTCAAGGGAATCCAGGAAAGAAACACTTCTTAAACTCTCTGTGACCCTAATTTTTTGTCCTTAGGGATTGCATGCTCCCTAGAGAAGAATGGCAGTAGATTAGGTACTGACTAGCTGGGCTACCACAGTCAGAGAACTACTTAACAGTTCACTGTCAAAACGGCAGGCTACACTGAAGAGCATTTTAAGGAGCCATCCCATCTCTTACTTCTGCAGTACTTCTAATGAATCTGGATGGTGAATTTGAGAGTAAAATTAAGCTTATTATATATGCAGCTAACATCATATACAGCTTCAGAATTCAAAGCTGCCTTGTTAAATCAGAGAAGCAAGCTAAGGAAAAAAGGAAATAAAGGATGAAATTCAAGGAGGACAAGAAAAATTTCCTTCCTGACTTAATAGAATATGGTCAGATACTGAATTCACAAAGTCTTTTGACATCTGCTGTAGTTTGGTGCATCTTTGTTCCAAAAAGCCTGTTTATCTGCTGTGAAAGTAGATGTAAAAGGTTTGACAAGTTGCTTACTGATGCTCATGTTGGTTGTGTGAGAAACAAGACCACGAATATCTATAAAAAAAAAAAGGTTTTATTGGGGACAAAGTCAGTGGAGCAAAGAATACAGTGCTGGGCGCAATGGCATGCCCTCTGGAGCCAAAGGGGCTCCTTTTTATTGTATAAAAGGTTACATATTCATTTACTCTAATACATATGCATCACTACTCCAAGGGTAGGGAGGGAATATTTCAATTAGTTCTGAGAAATCATTAACGTATCCCCGCACCCCAAATTCCTCCCATCATGCTTGCGCAGTGCTTCCTGGTGGTTGTGGGCACCTTTGTCTTTATGGCTTAGCGGTTTCAGTTCCTCTCTTATCTCAAGGACAAGAGATCCCAGAGATGGCCCATGCTATTCTTTCTCATTCCGTTGCAAAGGAGTTACTGTCCTTTGATATGGACCATCTGGTGAGCATCCCAAGGAGGGGGGGGGGGGGGGGCTTTTGGGTTGGTGTTTCCTCAGATCAATTCCCCCCCTTTTCTTTTCCAGTAGTAAATTCTTTTACTTTTCTTAAAATTTGGATCGTTGTACTAATAATAGCTTTAGCCTAACTCGATAAAAGTGATTGTTTAATTACTTTTAGCGAAAGCAAAATTCTTCTGTTATTTATCACAGTTGTTACCATCTGACATAGATGTTAGTAGCTTTCCCCCTAGTGCAGTGTTGCTAAAAGGCTTGCTTACTGAAGTTGTTGGAAAAATACTGGAATCAGGTTGACTTAGTTCCTAGCTCTTCCTGTTTAAAGATAGACTCTACTTTTTGCTGCTTTGTGGTTCTCTGCAGGCTCTGAGACAATTCATCAAAGCAGTCTTGGAGCTGTCAGCAGATTAAGTGTCCTGGGATAAGATTCACCAGACAAAAGCCAGTTTGAAAATTTCTTTCATGTGAATACTTACAATGTTTTCTTCTCCAAGGCTGAGTTCCTAGAGCTCGCTGTCAGTGAGGACTTCAGGTGTAAGCAACCTGACTGGTGCTGAATGCTTTTAGTGTGTCTGGGAAAAATACAAAAATGTCCTGCATTTAAATACTATGTTTTTTTTCTGCTTCAGTGCTTTTCTTGCTGTTCTTATTCATAGTTATTAATATGTACTAATTTCTACACTGTATAATATTTCATTTGGGCTTTTTTGAGATGCAGAAGAGGTGATGTTCTACCTAGGTTTGTTCCTTATTACCCTTCCCATTTAATTTGCATTGGAATAGTTTGGAATTGTGACTCTTACTCTGATTTCTTCAAGGAACTATAATTTTTCCTTTAGTAAATCTTCTTCTAAGAAATGTACAAAATCAAAGTTCACTGTAGTTGAGGAGTTTTGTTTGCTCTCCATTCTTCTAGTGAGGCTCTCAAATTCAAACATTCAGCCATGTTACTTTCTGTTCTGATGTACTTAAACAGCTTCACTACGGCTCCTGCAGATTCAATTCTGACCGTGTTCTCTAGCTTTTAAATTAATTAGTGTGTGTTTCAGGGTCTTCCTGGGTGGCTTGCCCTGCTTTGTTCCTTTCTTAGCTGTTTCTTCCTTCACCAGAAAGTCTTCAGGATGGTTTCCCCAGGTGGTGGCTGTCTTCTGTGCACTGTGGTTGCAGGAATGTGGTGTCGCTCCCCAGATACCATCAAAAGCCTCTCTTACACTATCTTCTGGGGGCTGGAGTCAACTGAGCACATCCCTAATGTACAAGGTGACAGCAATTCTCTTCTGTCCATCTTCTCCCTGCTCCTCCCCCCTGCCCCCCGTTAATTTTTCACATTGGTATTCTGGGTTAGATGAGTTATCCTGAGGAATTTGTTACAGCTTCTAAATCATTAACAACTCAAGAAAGAATTCTTGTCTTACATTAACATACAGATCTCCAGGGTGTTCAGCATACTGGCCCTCTATAGCTTCTTCCCTGTCCAGAAAGACCCTTTCACCTTGTGCTAGGCTGCTCTATGGCTCGTTGTCACTTACCTGAAGTGCTGCTTTGCCATTTCCTCTTGAACATAGTTTAAAGCTTGGGCTACCAAGTTGTTGCACAGTGTCGTCTCTTCCTGGTTTCTTGAGATGTCCTCCATCCTTGCCAATGGCTTCTTGAGTCAGATCAAGAATCCACATCTTTCCCATGTCACAGATCGCAGGTGTATTTCGTTCTAGTTTTCTGATGAGGAAGAAAATGAGTTGACTTTGTGGCTGGTTCTGGTAAAACAAAAAGTTGGTTTATTTGCTTCATGCTCCCATTCAGTTTAAAACAGACACAGAGGAGGTCTCTTAGTACTTATTCAGGAACCTTCTATTTGTTAGCCTTTCTTTTCTACTGTGTATGGGTGCAGGGTTTGGTGGGACAGTTTTTTGTCCCACTAAGGCTTGTGACTTGAGAGGAGAAAATGCTCCTGAAGCACTTGGTACGCTACAATTTATCCTCTGTGCAGCAGCAGAACTGTGGGTACTCAAAGGAGCATAGCAGGTCTTCAAACCTTCGATGTCTGTTTTTCAGTGGTGTTTTATGCAGAAAGCTTCTTATGATCTTGTGACTGCTACAGGGCAGCTTTATTCAGGTTTAAATTCTCAAAGTTACAATATACTTCCGAAGCTATTTACAAAGTCTTACATCTCTACCTTTGGTGATAGGTCAAATATAATATCTGAGGGTTTTTGGTGTTACCTACTTTTTTTAATTACCCGAGATTTAAAAAGAGTATTCTTGATGATGTTTTGGTTTTGTTTTTTTTTTTTTTTTATCTTCTAAGCTGCAAATACCTTTCCACATTATGTGAGCCTTACCCAACCTCAGGGTGAGTTTTAGAAATCTGTCACTAATACTTCAACATGAAACGAATTTTTATCTCTTCTGTTTTTTCCCTCCACCTCCCTTCCCCAAGGGCAACAGCCATTCTGGCATACTTACCCCAGGAACTTCTAGGTACTTCGTGCTATGAATATTTTCATCAAGATGATATAGGACATCTTGCAGAATGTCATAGACAAGGTACAATTATTAATAATTCAGTAAAGAAATTTTGTAAAAACATTGGGAACAATTGTATAGTAAGAAAACCAAACAAACTTGAAAAGATTTGGATATCTCTCTGTAAATGATTTAGTCAAGAACATTGTGCTCCATGTGCCAAACAATATGATTATCTTTAGACTTCCATGGATTTTTAGTGAATATTTGTGGTTCAGGTTGGGTGAGGGAGGATGACTGGAGAAATAACATTTTTCTTCAGGGCTGATGGGAAGAATTATCAGTTTTCCTGATAAGGGCTCTGCTTATGTAGTCATGGTGGCTGTTTGACACAACGTTACTTGCTTTCTGCCTGTTTTTAGTTTTGCAGACAAGAGAAAAAATTACAACTAACTGCTACAAGTTTAAAATAAAAGATGGCTCTTTTATTACATTGCGGAGTCGCTGGTTCAGTTTCATGAACCCTTGGACCAAAGAAGTAGAATACATTGTCTCAACAAATACAGTTGTTTCGTAAGTATTTCTTCTCTTAGCAGTTGCATGTAAATGCTGATGATTGCTTTGCGCTGTTTTCAGATGAGATTTGACCTAAATATGTGTATATCTTCTATAAGACAATAGATATCTTTGCCAGATAACACCCAGAACTGCATATCTGGGGAGAGAGGAATTAGTTTACTAACTGCAGTAGTTTAATATCTGTTTATTAAAGCCTGAAGAAATACAAATGTTTTGTTTCTTTCAGGAAAACCTGGGGTTCCAGTCTTTGTAGGGATTTATGGGAGATGCATTTCTTTGCTTTTGTAGGGATGTCCCCTCCTCTTTTTACTTGAGGGTTCTGTACAGGTGCAGTGACTTCACACTAAGAGGAATTCTCTTGTGAAAGCTGTTTGGGTTCTGTATTGCACACTTCGAGTGGTAACATGGTGGTTTATTTCTGTGGTTTATCTGGCCTTGGTGTCACTCACAGTGCTTCTTTCACTGAGGTGATGCTGACTCACAAACTACTTAAACCCTGAAGCATCCTGTTCTGACACACTGGCAGAGTGACTGGTTTGCAGGGTTTTCTATGACTGATTCTTCTAATTCTTGAAATCCACAGCACCAACGTACTTGATAGTGGAGACGCAGCCTTTCCCCAGCTTGCAGCTTCTCCACACAGCATGGACAGTGTGCTTCAGGCTGGAGAAGGTAACTGCTGTACTGTGAGGAAATTATTTGCCACCATGCCTTGTTAGCATCTAATCCTGCATGCATAAATCTGCTGTACTTTTGCATTGTGAATTGGTTAATATCTGAAAAAAAAATAAGTTTTAGGGCAAGGAAGTGCTAATGCGGTTCTTGACCTGTTGAATTTAAATACCAACTTTGGATATAAACTGGTCAAAGTGAAGTGAATGAGCCAGTTGAAGGACACAAGTGTAAACAGGGTTGGAGGAGTGTTTGCCTTCATGGGTGGTGCTATTTGTACATCGTCCAAGAATGACTTTAGGTTCTTTGCTCAGTGCAGATGACTATGCAGAGGGTGATTGGATCACAACCATAGTTTGGCTGTTCAGCTTATTGTCCCTCACCTGCCCTTGATTTGTGTCTGTGTAAGGCATGAAGCCTGACCTCTAGGTAATCACCATGGGCTTGTTATGAATGCTGCAGATCACTGAACCATCAGTTATAACAGGTGGTGTGTAGCATAAGGCAGAGCAGGGCTTGATTTAATACTGAAGCGCTGCTGGGGCAGGGTGGAAGTGAGAGAGAATAGAAGGATGCAGTGATGGCCCATGGATGAAAGATGGAAGAAGAAAGATGGTGATAGTACTGAGATTATTTCCAGAGTTTCGTTGCATTTAGAGACCCTGTTTGCTAGGTACTACCCTGATCAGCTATGCCTTTATAGCTGTGGAACAAGGATATTGCACATGGCTAGGATTACTTTGTAAGCTGTACACAATACACTTAGAACACTGCAAGACTTGAGCAAAGCTGGGCTTCTCCGTTATCTGTTGTGAAAAATGAGGTTCAGTAAGTGAATCTGGAGGAGGAAAGGTGGCAAAGCATGGGACAGGTGACAGTGGTAGGAAGAAAAGCTGCCATGTAGGCATGAGGGTTAGTTGCTTTGAAGGTAGAGTAACAGCAGTAGCATGGTGTCTGGGCCTTCTGAGAATGGAAAAACATACAGAACAAACTTATTCTTGCCACAACACAGCCTTTGAAAAGAAACCAGATGTGTAATATCCTCATGCTGACAGTTCTTGTCCCCACAAAAGAAAGTTAATTGAGCAAATTTTAATTTCAAGTGGTTCTGGCTCTGCTAAGGATTAATGACCCGTTAGGTGAACCGTCTGACCTCCTGATGGGTCTGAGCCATCGATACTAAGGGTTGCTATAGTTAAATATAAACTTCTAAATGAATGAAATTATCCATTATGAGTAAGCAATGCTAAGGGCTTTCTTGCCCTTTCAGTACATGATCTTTTCTTCACTCTGCCTTGGAGTGTATTGGGCTCCTTCCTGACTACCTCTCAAGTGTTGTGCAAATGTCAAATCACATTAAAGTTACAGTGAGCTTCTAACTGTTCAGACCACGCTTTTTCCTCCATTTTTAGATACTTGCAGTTACCTACAGGGGGTTTATTTATGTTCATCAGGTAGCTTGGGCTTATCCCATATTGGATGGAATATGCACTGGTACATTCTTCACACAAAGCAAAGAACAAACATGTTTGGAGATGAGCCTGTTCAGGTACAGAATAAAGCAGGTCTGACAGTCTGTTCCGTACCAACTCTGGACAAGAGGTACTATAAGACCCTGAAAAGTCAGGATGTGTTGTGTGCCTGCTGGCACAGAGGGATGACAAAGAGACATAGCATAGCTTGGTGCAAGTCAGAGCTTTCCATACATTTAAAGGTACTCACCAGTTGGTGGAAGTGTAAATAAATACAGTTCAGAAGGTCCTGCAGCTTGTCAAAGCATGCCTAAATACAATTGCTTTTTTGGAAAAGGTTTGCAAGCTTTTATCTGATCTTAAGATATTTACTCATTTCAGGTGGCCCAAAAAGGACCCATCCTACTGTGCCTGGAATTCCAGGTGGAACGAGAGCTGGGGCAGGTAAAATAGGGAGGATGATTGCTGAAGAAATCATGGAGATTCACAGGTGAGAGAAAATAGTATGAAGTTAGAGGAAAATCAGTATTGTTCTTTAAGAGAAAATAGTGAAAGAACAAAAAAGTTACAGCCTTCCAGCTTTCTACTGTAAAAGACTGATATTGGAACTTTTTTGATAGTGGTGATAATTATCTGTTTACCAGAAACAGTAGTTAAAAAGAACAGCTAACTAGAAACAAATTCCTTTCCCAAATATTCTTTTCCCAATGACATAAGTGTGTAAGTGGCACAACTTACAAATGTCAAAGCTAGTGACTGCATACCAAAAAAGCAATTTTTGTTTTCGTGGAATCCACTTTGCTCAGATGCTTTTAGAGTTCTTGGATATGAGAGTTCAGCTTGGGCAGTTCTACCACAGCTCTTTGAGCAAGGACCCAATGATTAAGCTAGCTCTGCCAGCCCCGAGGCAGTCTGTCTAAAACTCAAAATGTAGGTGTCTGGTTTAAACAGGAAGGCTTGTAGCACCCTTCAGGAAGGGGCTGCAGTAATACACGGAGCTGTTTCTCAGAACGTCCATCTCCTCTCTTACCTGTGTGAGCAGCTCCTTGCAGTGCGTGTCACTTAATTTCTACTGGCTAACAGTAACTGTTCTGCCTGAATTTCCCCTTGGGAATTATTCCCTTCCCTGTAAAAGTGGTCTCATCCAACAGATGTTTAGTGGCAGTAATTTAACCATACTGAGCTGCAATTCAGGAAAATATTCAGTCTGCTTCTCATAGTTTTGTTTCTGCTGCAGGAGAGACTACTTACACAGGGAATGGCAGACCTATCACCTAAGAAGAATAGAAGAAAAGAAAATTAAAAATAAAAAGCCACACCAAGGCTGAACCAATACTTTGAAACTTGACCATCTTTTAGTAGCTGTAAAACACTTAATTAGCCTCAGTGAGTGTAGTAGTATAGTTTACCACCCGTGTTTTCATCTCATTTCAAGACCCTGGGTTAGTTCCAGTCCTTTTTCAGCAGCTGTTACTATTTTCCAAGCTGCCTTCTGTTCAGCTTTCCCAGGGGAACTCTGCCAAGGATAGGATTCCCATTTCCATTGCTTTTCTCTCTAACTGCCCCCTCCTCCCTTTAGTGTAAGATTTGTTGGTTCTACAGTTAATACATTATTCATTAAATAAAAAATGATATTTGATCAAGCTATGGAAAATTAAAGTGAAAAATGCTGGACAGTTAAAAAAAAATTAACTATATCAGATATCCAGTGTACTACCGTAGCAGTAGCTCACTTAAGGGAGTCTAGGTGACTGAGGCAGCTTGAATTCTTAGCTGGTCTAAATCGAAGTAAAATCCGAAAAATTAGGTTTTCTTCAGTACCCAGGACCTTTCTCTTCTGACTGAGATCTGCACAGGAACAAATCAAGGGTAGAGGAAGTAAAGCGTGCAGACTGAGCAAGCTGGACAACTTACACACAACTGTTTAGCTGCAACTAAAAGGTGCTACTGCTGATTTGAGTAACACTGGGAAAGTGAGGAAATTGCAAAAATGAAGTTCATGCTTTTAACGCCTTATGCCACTTGATACTGAAGCCAGCATTTGAAACTCCAAGCGTCTGTCATCTGAATCTTAAAGTTGCTGGTAAATTCATTCCCTATTTTATCCTTATTTTAGAATAAGAGGATCATCACCTTCTAGCTGTGGTTCAAGTCCACTGAACATTACCAGCACCCCACCACCCGACACATCCTCCCCAGGGGGCAAGAAGGTAAGAACCAGCTTTGCAGATAGTCTTGTAGCAGTAGTGAGAAGCAACATGAGGTCATGCCTGTAAAATTACATGGGATACTGAACTCCTGGCTGCTTGGCTGAAAAAGTCTGACAAGAAGTCAAAGTATTCTGGTGGCCAAAATCCCTTTACAGTAGTCCCTAAAGTGCGGAGACCAGTAGTTCTTAAACAAAAAAAAAAAAAAAAAAAAAAAAAAGAAACAAGAGCTGGTGGATTTCAAAAGCTGCCAGTTTAACTGAGCTGCAAGAAACTGCTCTCCTCCCACCTCGATCCTCCAAAAACTCTTTAACACCACGTACTGGTGACCACTGGAAGTGCTGTTGCTTGAGCACTGACTGTGCTCAAATCAATCACCAGTTTTACTGTAGAGCTGTAGCACCAAATATGACAATTAGATGCTTTACTGCACCCTGACAGTTTATTTTTGTATCAATACCATGTACCATGCCTTGTTCTAAGATTGCTTGAGTAGCACTTACGTACCATTACCATCACTTAGCCACCTCAACACTTCCACTGGCTGCATTTAAGTCATCTAGTAAATTGTCGCTTCTGGTAGTTACATTCAAGGCAAGAAGAACATTTATCCAAATCCTTATTCTGTGCATTCAAACACTGCCTCAGACTTACTTTTGGTTTTTTTTTTTTTGCCAGAAACTATGATGACTGTATGTAAGAATTGCTTGTACTGGAGCATATAGCTGACAGTAAATATTTCTGTCTATTCTTAGCTGTCGTTGTCCTTGAACTAAAACTTCATGTTGGAACAAACTGAACTATAATTCTATGAATAGTTGTTATTGCTCCTTCTGCCCTCCAGTAATTCAACACCTACATCTAGGAGGAGCTACTGTAATGGAATAAAGGAACATATACACGGAGACTTCGGTATTTCTGAGAGGGTGCCTCCTCAATATTTCTCCTTAGGAGGCTACAGCTGTTAGAAACAACCCCAGGTCCAGCTGCCGCTGCCCTCAGAAGGGGGCTCACAAGTACTTCCCTCCTGGTGTGTATGCACAGCGGAGCAGTTCAGAGCTCTGGTTCAAGGTCACTATTCCCTCACTATTTAAGAATCACAGAGAAGGTCCTTCCATTTCTGGTGAGCTCTGGTGTGCACAGTACTGCTTGTACCAAACAAGGGTTAGGCTTACACTCCAGGAGCAATGCTTAGCTCACGCGCTCTGTCTCTGCCTGTGAGGATTAGATTCCTAAAATTAAGGTTTTTAGTTGACAGTACTTTACCTATATGGTACTTACCGATTCAAAAGCAATGTGTAGGTAACTAATTTACTATCACTTGCAGATGGAATACTTACAAAGATGACCCAAAGAAATCCCGAGGACTTTTTCTAGTAACTTTCCAGAAGTTCAGTACATAGTACTGATGTGGTATCTTCCTTTCTGGCAGTGATGTACTGTCTGACAGCTGCTTGATGGGCATAATACAAAGGAAGTAGCTCCTAATTTACAACTAGTCTGATAGCTAGCCTTTAAGTGTTAGGTTTTTATCAGGAAGCCCATATTCCCTACATTAAAAATCCCACTGTAGGACTGTTTAAGACGTAATGCAACATATCATGCTGTTTCATGGCTTCTGTTTTTTCTTTCAAGATCCTGAATGGTGGCACTCCAGACATTTCTTCAGCTGGGTTACTGTCTGGGCAAATCCAGGATAACTCTGGTTACCCATATTCTGACAACTCCTCTATTCTTGGTAAGTGAAATCACACACTAACATGCTTCAATAAAGACATACAGACCACTGTAACAATATGGTGGTTTTTAGCAGTAACTTGCTTTCACCATGTGCAGGCTATAGATGAGGCACAAAAGCCCTCAACCTACCACTCTAGTAGCTTACTTTATATTACAATTTTTTTTAGATAGGCCGTGGCAGCCTCTCTTCTTGCAGAATCAGTGTAAATTAGCTGAACTCCTCACCTGCTTTTTGTGAGTGCTTTTAAACTGAAGAAGAAAGGCTAGCCTGACTCCTAGATGTCAATCTAGACTTATTTTTGAAGTAGAGCATATAAAGTCATCCTTATTAGGTGTATACTGGTCATTGCTGAGGATTGACCTAACTTTTGTCCTCTGAGACCCAGGTATCAGTGCTATCCCTGATAGCACCTAGGTATCAAACAGATAAAATGCTTCCGGAATAGTTTGGCTTGTTCCGATGTTCTACCTCAAGTCCCAGGGCAAGTGCCTATAGCAGGGGAAGTGAATGAAGCAAAACTGAACTTCTGGTTACTTACTGTATTTACCCTGACAGGGGAGAACTCACATATAGGCATTGACATGATTGACAATGACCAAGGATCGAGCAGCCCGAGCAACGACGAAGCAGCAATGGCAGTAATAATGAGCCTTCTTGAAGCAGATGCAGGTCTGGGTGGCCCTGTAGACTTCAGTGATTTGCCCTGGCCCTTGTAAATGATGCACCTGGCTTCAACATCCAAGTATCAAAGTGCATTTACTGGTGGAGTTCTACAGTCTGTGAAACTTGTTGGACTGAGAAGCTTTTATGTACAAATTTCATAAAAGCTGCATCAGAACACAACTCATCCTACCATGTGTAACTTCAGACAAAGTGGAATAACCTGCTACAGTGTTCTGTGTTGATTTGGTTAGCTGTGTATAGCTTGCAATACTTGTATATTTTGGATTCTGTTGTTTGAAATTTTTTTTAAATCACTGTGCAACTCACTGGCATCAGTGGTAGCTTTTATATGCAAATGACCATTTCAGATGTATGGTGTGTTTTTACACTGCAAAACAGTCCCCATGTGGATATTTCTTACACTAATTGTACCATAAAGCTGTTTATTCTTTCTTGTAAGAATCCTTTACTATAAATATTGTTAAAGTGTAATGTATTAGACAGTTAAATATTTTTAAAATAAATGTTTCCCTTGTTCTAAGATGGAGCATTTACTTTGATAAATAAATTTGATAAAACCCTGCCAAAGGTGCATGTTAGAGGCAGTTGGTATATATCATTTCTTTAGCCTTGGGGGAAAAGGGAGGAAAAACAATGCCTTAAATACAAGCTTTTGTCACTGCACTGAATTTCTAGAGAAGCTAGCATTACTTCCTCCTACATTCAAGTTCACATTAAGAAAAACACAACACTAAGGTAGGTTAAGATAGTCTGACATTACCAGGTTTCTCATTAAGAAATACTTGTTTTTCACATAATATTAACCATCCTTCTGAGGAAAGAAAAGGAACTACTTTCAAAATTCATCTGTATACTTGATCTCAGTCACAGGTAATTCAAACCCATTAAAATAATGGAAACTTTATTTGCATGAAAAACTTGTTTACAATCATTAATAAATGAAGAATGAACCATTTGCATTTTCCTATTTCATGACACTTATGAAAAATGTATTAAATAAATATTTGTGAACAGATTAAGGTAAGGCAGAATTTAAGATAAAGCCCCTATCCCTTGTTCACAATTCTTGAACATGGCTCACGCTGCAAACAAGTGAAAAAATTCACTAAAGAACTTTTAGTTTAACAAGATGTTACATGGGTAATTGAATCATGTCCTCAATCCAAAAACCCAAAAGTAAGTAGTTTTGTGCTCAACCATATACAATAACTTTAAAAGGGTCAATCTATAAATAGTTTTACTCTGAACAGTTAATACTTTTGATAGAAGCACTTTGTTAGTATTGTGCAATACATTTATAAAAAATGGCTTCAATTTCCATTTATCAACCATTTATAAAGTGCTACTATCAATTCCAATTCTGCATTCTAACCCTGTGTAACAATACTGATGTACACTAGCCACCAGCTTCCCATTGGTTTTGATGGGCTCAAGAGTGAGGACAGTCCAGCATACAAATCACCAATGTCACAAACCTACCGTAAACACATACATGTATGTAACTGGAACCCCAGGATGTTTGATCTGTACTCTCTCAAAAACAATCAGGTACTCCCTTTGGTCTTTTCAAAGGTCCATACTGCAATATCCTAAACACTGTTACACAATGGAAAAAACTGGAATTGCAGTGTAGTATGAGTTGAGTACAGTCACCTTAAAGTAGCATGCTTTTGTTTTAGTAAGAGTCTAGATCAGAGAGGTGGGTTTTGTCCCTCAGTATCCATCTCACTGTTACTAGGTGGAGGGTGAATAGGCAGAATATCCAGCTCATCTACTTGGGGGGTAGGATGCATTACCACAAGCTGGTCCTGGGGTATATCTGCTGCTGCTGCCGCTAAATTTGTAATTGATTTGCTTTTCACACACTGAAAGTCAACATGCCGACTCTTCCCCTCCTCCTTCTCCCACGACATCCGAATAAATGGTCTTTGGACATAGTTGTAAATCACCTCCGGCCTTCCACCCGGTCGCTTTTTCACTTTCTCTTTGTATGTAGGGTAACCTAAGAAACAGAGCACAGCAGAAGTTAACATTTCCTATGCTGTTTAGTTCCAGGTTTTCTTTTACAAAAAGGCAGCATGTGGAAGCAGTGAAGAGTAGCAGTTACCACCATCAACACCCTGAATGGAAACAGATGCCATCATGTTTTTAATTGTATCTATGCAAGGAGGACACAGGCAGCAGTTTAACTACCACCCAAATTGTAAGGAGAGAGGCTACAGTGCCAGCAATACTGAATATATTGCCACCAGACAACAACTCTTCTAAGTTTCACAGGCAAAGCTAGTTGTTCCCTTCTTGAGCCAAAAGCAGCCAGCTGTTTCTAAAACCTTAGACCTGGAAAGCAGGACACAAGATCTCCAAAGCAGAGAACAGTGTTGCTCTGATCTGTGGTTTAAGTTCCCAAGTGGAGTCACAGTGCACTCCTCCCAGCTTCCTCAGATGATGAAAATACATCACCTTAGACCAATTATCAACTCTGGTTATGCTCTGTTTGAGTCACCTCTTCCCCCTGCCTAAGAAAATTTTCATTACTAGAAAGTTACACGTTATTATGGGGCACTATCATTAAAGTTTAGTTGTTTGTCTATAACAAGAAACGCCAGCAGCAATAACCTGGTATTAGCCAGCATTACACAGAAAACCAGTTTTTGTTTAGTTGAACAGCATGTCAATCAAGGCTCACACGTCATTCAGCTGAGCTTATTTACTTATTATTTCAGAGATCTAAAGCAGGTAGAAGCATTTGCTTTTGGTTGGTAAATTACAAACATAACAGCTTGATGAGTGAATGATAATGATAGAAATCCTGCAAATTATAAAGGCTGGATTTTTAAATATTTGGGTCAACAATCAGAAGGAAAATGAAATGCAAAGAAATACAGTTGTCATGTTCACAATAAAAATCTAGGACTACTTTATGTAGTTGTTTTCTGCAAAGCCAGAGCTGAGATTTTACAGATCAGCCTCCTAACTTACAATATGTTTATTTCAGATTAGTATTTCTTTCACTTCCATGATCCATTTGATAGTTTTGTATTTTGTGGAAGAAAATATTTGCCTGCCACTTAACATAAAATTTTTAATTTCAAGCCCTAAAAAGGACACCAGACCAAGAACAGAATACATACAGCTATAAAAATGCATCATTACTTCAAATAAAGCACAGAGATTTTCTGTGAAAACTAAAAGGCAAATGGCATGAGATGCAGTTGCAAGTCAGTAGAAACCACCTAAGTTCCTCTGCGAACACTCTAGCAACCAGATATATCCTGTAGACCAGTCATGGGCCTGTAATGGGCTTTTCTACCTGGACCAGTTATTTACTAGGTGCCACTCCTGCTCTGGCCATTTTATCATCAGTATGAAAGACAATACCAACCCTGATTTTTTCAACTTCTGAGATGATCATAAAGCAGTTTTTTTCCCAAAAGAGTCAGTGTACAAGCAATGCTTCTCTTACCTTCGATGCCCAGTCGGATCTTCTTGAGCCCCCTTTCCTTCAGAACTGATTTGGCCACATCTCGATTTTCAATGTATTTGAAAAATCTATACAACTTTGTGCTGTAAATAACTAAAGATACATTTTAATGAGGAAAAACTGTATTCGAAGATTGAACTTTTAGTCTTAAAGATTTATCTTTTTCACTGTTTTGCTTTACTCTAGTATTTCTATTTCAGAATAGGGTGAGAGACTCAAGAACTCTTGAGAAAAATGGCTGAAGGCACTGTGAAATGGGTTGGTTGCACATGTCTTTTTCCATATCAGTTTAGTCTGTTTTATACAGTTAGGGGGTTTTTGGGTGGATTTAGGAATGCAGTAGGACACTTCACAGAGCAAATCACATTATATACTCCCAACCCCAACTCCACAAAAGACATCAATTTTTTTAACTTTTTGATGGAATTCCTGCAGACATCATAAAATCTTTCAGTTCTGCTTGTCATTACAAGAGATCTGCAAATTAATTTCAGAAAACCCAGAGTTGTGAAGCAGAACAAGAGGAACACCTTGGAAATCTAATTATCACAGCTTAAAAGAAGGGACTGGGGCCAATAATCCTGTAGAGCTGCAGAGATCCTAATCTACTGTTCCTGAAAAGTACAGAAGGCAAGTGTGTGTCTAACTAATTACTTAGGGTAGGGGGTATTTTTAATTGACATCTTTGAGACATAAAGGTCCTAGATACCTAATGTAGTAACACAATTGGCTCAGAACAGCCACATTTGATCTATATTCACATTGAGCCTCTCTGTAGGAACAGCTGCAGGTTTGCATCCTCCAAAAATGTAAGTTGTTTTTTTTTTTTTCCTGTTGGTGGTGGTGTATTTAGGAAAAAAAAAAAAAAAAACAAAACCCAAAACAACCACCAAACAAAACTGTAATACCTTGAAGAGACGTCTAAGAAGATTTTATACTACTGGAGCACAATGACCATCTCAAGCTCCTACAGGCCCCACAAAACCCTGAATTTGTTTTCATACTGAAGGAACATTTTCAGCTACAAGGACAGCTCTGATGCAGGGAGAGACACTCCACTCACCAGTGCTTTAAGTCATCCATACACCAAGCTAGTATACTTCCAAAATACTAAGAGATACTTCATACCCACCACCACCACCCCCCCCGCAAAACCCACCCCTCTAGTTGCTCTTCCACAGTAAATGTGACTCCTACCCATTTTTCTCATCAAGCTCTTTCTGAGAAGGTATTTCCTTCCCCCTCATTGACTGACAATACCTTAGTAAAAAAATTAGCTTCTCTTTCTGATTAGATTTGAAAGTAACATGCAACATACGCTTCTGTGAAGCAAAACGTGAAGCAGAACTACCAAAACTAAGGGTTTTTTTGATGAGGCATTAGTGATGTTGTAAAGACCTTGCTAACACCACTTATGTATAAAAGGTTAAATAAGCACATTTACTGCTACCTCTGCCGTAGCATGGCTTGGTGGAAATGATGAAAATAAACTTACTTTGTGAATACTCCTCTCCCATTTGTGGAGGATACTCTTCATCCCAGTCAACAACATCATCATCTGTCAGCACAACAATGTGGCACTCCCTCTCCCCACTTTGGGCACTGGCTACCATCAGTGGGAGAATCATTTCTTCTAGATAAAACTCAAATTGTTTGCGAGCACCATCATTTGACAATTCATGCATGAGAGCACCTGGAACAAAATTTTAAGTACAGGCATATTTGAAAGCTTATTCAAAAAATTAAGGCAGGAATAAAACACAGCCGTTCCATTTATTTTGTAGTATTTACTACAGAAAACTTTAAAGACACTTAGTCTATTAGTTTGTGTAAGATCAGACCTTTTTCAAATGTTTACCAGAAGCCACACCAGAAGGTCAAACTACTAAGATTGTCCTTGCAGATATTAACATACTGTTGGACAGACGAGTGACTTTGAGGAGACCTCCTTCATGTTTTACTACTGCTAAATGTTTGGTAACTGTGTGTAAGACTCCTCTCCAGCTTCCTAAAAGAAACATTACTTAAGCCAGTTGCTGGACAAGTAGAGCATGCAACCCACTTTTCATAAGCAGTAGCTTAAACACAAAGCCTCTCAA